CCAAATTGAATTGTTTTCCATAAAGGGGTCTAATAATCACTCTTACTGTTCTGAATGTGTAATCAAATATGTAATCCTCAAAATTGGAAGAAAACAACACGAAAATTGCTTGTCCTGTTCCGGGTTGCGTTGGTAGATTGGAGTCCCAATTTTCAGAAGCTGAACGAGGATGTAACGGAAAAAGGAAGATATATTGATCAGTATCTTCTGATTGAATTAGATGGATTAGTAAATAAATAATTATTACCAATATTCTGTTGGCCCGTATTCCCCTCGATTGGGTCAACAAGGAAACAAATAAAATCAAGTCAAATTTTGCTTTGGTTTTAGGAAACAAAACCCACTCCAATTGGGTTTTTGTTTTTAGGTTTTTTTGCTCTATAAAAGCAAGGTTTTGGCATAATTTTTTATGTGTGTGTTTTCAGCCAAGAAGAGAAGAAAAGTTTGGCAGCCGTGCATTGTTTTTGTACGAAAGAAAAAGAAAAAAAGATAGGGTTTAGTTTTCGGTTTAGCTCTCTTTTGGTTAGATCCTTTCAGTCCTACTTTGTGATAGGTGTGTGTGGAAGAGTATTGTTGTAATCCACCTTTGGGTGAAGTCATGTGTATCCACCGGTTGGTGAAAACTGTTTTCCCATTATTGTGATATTGGAGATTTAACTGTTATTACAGTCTCGTGGTTTTTCCCGATTTGAGTTTCCACGTAAATTCGTGTGCCTCTTTTATTTCATCAGTTGCTTGTTTGGGTGGTTGTCCTATTTTATTAGTAGTATGAAAGGAAATTTTCTTCATCAGTTGCTTGTTTGGTGGTTGTCCTATTTTATTAGTAGTAGGAAAGGAGATTTTTTTGGGGTTCGCTTCCGTAATGTGTTGTGTTTATGCCCTTTCCGCCACAACATATTCATATTGTAATATCTATTTTCATTATTATTCTTCTTTCCAAATAAAATACGTATTTCACTCCTAAAAATATAACAATTAAAATAAAGAAAATCAAAAAATGACATCACATATGGAAACACTTCAAGTTTGTTTTTTAATCAAAGCCTAGCAACATTACGTATTCGAGAGTAATTCGAAATGAATTGGAACTACCACTTTTTTCATTTCTTTTGTTTTAGTAGTTTCATTTATTTTATTTTTGTTCTTGTAGGAATATCAAACGCTTAATTTTCTTTATCTTGCGTATTGTAATGTACTCCAAACTCCATCACGCTGGATAACCTCATCGTTTAATTGAGGAAATCTTTAGCCCTAATTTGTTGGGCAAAATCGCACATGGCAAGCCAAGCAATAGAAGTGGTGAATCTTGAGAATGATTGAAGAACTGTACGTTTTGTATGCAAAGCAATTTGCACAATAAGGGCACTAGTTCGAGCAATCCAATCATAGTTGAAACCACAAAAACAAGGCCCAAAGCCAAAAAAAGAGGTATTCATTGATCTTCCTTCCCCTGATTATTGTTGGTTTATGCCCTGAGCTCGAATAGGTTTTTGTTACTACCATATTATGAGAACCTATTGGGTCGCACTTAATAGGTCGTTGGTTTTTGTTTTATGTTCTGGATTTGATTTAATTACAATTAAAAGTTAATGCGTAATTAAATTGACAAGTTTTCAATAGTAACTATGGTCATTAGAGTTCTCGATATTGTTGTATTATTAATAGGTATTAGCAAACGTCGAGTGAGATACCCAAAAGAGTACTGTCCCGGCTCTCTCGTGATTCAAATTGTGCACAAGCAATTTTTCGGTAAAAGGTATTCGATACCGTTATTGTGATAATAATTGCATGAATCAATGGCTAGGGTTCTTGCTTTTATGCACTGCGTAACATGTTTTATATGTATGGAACCCAACGAGAACTTTTACTGTCCCTATAAAGACTGTTCCTCTGTGTTTCTGATTGGTGAGGATTTTGGTTGCGAGGAGGCTGAGTGCCCGAGTTGTCGGAGGAGTTTCTGTAGGATTTGCAGAGTTCCACGGCATTCGGGGTTTTCGTGTTCCGAGTTCCAAAAGTTGAAGAAGGATGAACAGGAAATGGAAGACATAATGCTGATGAATCTGGCAAAGAACGAGAATTGGAAAAGGTGTCCTAAGTGCAAGGTGGTGGTGGAGAGGGCTGCAGGGTGCTCGGTCATATATTGTAGGTGCCAAGGTCAGTTTTGTTACGAATGTGGATCTCTTATTCAACCCCGTCCCCATTGGTGCTCTACCTGCAAAGGGTATACCATCTACATTGGGGGAGATAAGCAATTTTACTGGCGTTTGCCGGGGCGGAACTATGACTCCCCAACTTTGCACCTCCTCCTCCTCTACTAGAGTAGTAGGAAAAAAGTTGGCGTTTGATTTAAACTCTCTTATCTTTATCATTAGGATTGATTAGGCTATCATTGAAAGTGTCTTCTTTTTAAAACTAAATTCTACTGCATTTGCAATAAATACCTTGTTAGGAGAGAAATATGCACAATTGAGGAGATCCACTAGATGATTGTGTTTGTCGAGGTTGTACTTGTCGGTTTCAATAGGATCGGTGGAAGGGATAACAGAGGCACAAACTCATTCAATTTCTAAGTGGATTAAATAATTGTGTTGTTGGGGGTTAAGTCTCAAAAATTTTGATGATGGATTCATTTTTGAAATGAGAGACACATTACTTAATGGTGAATAAGATATAGATCATAGTATTACTATCATAGCAATAGCACAGAAAGAAATGGTAAGGATTATGCTTAATCGTGCAGTGAAAAAGAATGCACAATGGAAGAACGGGGCTAAAAGACTTTTCAATTATGAAGGTTGTGCAAGAAAATGGGGATATTCCAACGCACACACACACAAAGGGAAAAACTCTTTGAAGGGTCGATCTCCTTCCCTAACCAATCAAACACAAGCTACTATAATTTGCTTCAAAAGAAATGAAAAGGATTATCAATTTTCTCAATACTTAGGCGGCAATATTGAACGACGTTCCTACCATGTAGCTCGAAACAAGAATCTTTAAGGGTGTTCATAACAATCTGGCATGAAATTTTACACCTTGACCTGGACTCAAAACTTAGGCAAAAATGTCCGCAAACTCTCTAATTCTAACGTTCTAGGAGGAAGAACTTCGAATACCAGTAGAATCAATTGGTAGTTAATTCATGGCCACTGTTCGTATCAATTAAAAAAATACATAGACACTGCCTATGTTTCTGAGGTTTCCACAAAAAAAAAAAAAACAACAAATTATTGTTGGGATAGTTTTGTCTTTTAAAAAGAGACATACTTAGTTCGAATCCTAATTAACTATAAAACTAATTTTAGGTTATAGGAACAAAAAAACGCCAGACTTCAGTTTACAAGATTGAAACTCTGCTACCAAGCTACAGGGACCTTCAACATTCTAATCCCCATGAGAAATTCTTTGTTTGTTAAAAAAAAAAAAAAAGAATAATAAAGAGGGAAAACGATAAAAAAAAGTCGGGAAATGCCCCCATGCAGGATCGAACTACAGACCTTCAGTTTACAAGACTGACGCTCTACCACTGAGCTATAGGGGCTTGTTGATTCGCTCATTATTGTTAGTCATTATAAATTATTTTGCCATTAGATTTGATATTTCAATATCGGGCTATTATGGGCCGTAGAGAAATGGGCCGCTAAAGGAATCCATGTTCCACGATCCTCTGTTTATAAATTGATTGAAACTTTGAGCATATCTGAGAACATTAACAAGAAACCCTGCCGCCGCTCCGCTTCCACAACCCTCTGAGCTTTGCATTTTTTTTTCTTAAGTTGTAGTAGTTTCATAGGTTTTTGTTTGTGATTATTATGGGTTTTTCATGCTTCGGTGAGGCGTTGCGTTCATCGGTTATTTGATAACCACGGACGCGTCAGCAGAAGCATAGATTAAATTTGATTCAAAATCCAATCTTGACCAACTCTCCTTTATTCATCACTCTGCATTCACCAATTCTTATTGGTGTTGTTGCGGTTTTGAAATGGTCAGATCGTGACATTCTTGGTGATTTTATATCCCTCCAAATCCTCCAAAGATAAAGTTGGTTTTTTTTTTTAATTGATTTTGTTGTTCAGAGTTGCTTCTTATGGTGAACGCTCTCTAATTGAATGGGGGCTGTTCTAGTTTCCGAAGCATATATCAAATATATTTATATATATAATCAGTATTAAACAGCTCGATGTATTCCCCTGTTGCATCGTGTTACCTGTCTCCTGGTACATTTCTTCAATGTTTTCGCAATTTCCTTAATTACCTTATTATGACAATTTTAATCGGGACCCTAGTCTGGATTCAGCATTGATAGCTGTGAGCAGCTCTCTTGTTATGATTCATTGTTTTGGTGAGGATTTGGTGCACACCAATCTTATTGGGGAATTTTGAGTATTTAAGAGTCTATTGAAGACATTAAAATCTGCTGTTTAATTAATCTGATTAAATCACTGCACATTGTTGCAAACTGGGAACAATGTCATTGAAAAAATTATAATAAAACTTGGAAGATGTCTGAGAATATGAAAGGATTGGATTCAATGTGAAAGAACTTGGCCTCATACAGAATTTTGTGTAATTGGCCAAAATTGATGGCTAATGGATGCAGTTAACGTACATAACCCAAGGTATACACTGGGTTTGCAATCCTGCCATAATCATCTTTGAAGACTGTTACTAGAATTTGTGATGATATCACTACTATACCAGTATTAGAGACAATTTTCGCTTCTAATTGGAAAGTAAATCAGGAAGAAAACCATTATTGCATTGGTTAATACTGGAAATTTTCATAATACAATACACAGCAGTCTCATATTATAGGAAAGGAGACTGAAAAGGCATGAGTGATGCAACTTTATTGTTTTAGTACATATAAATGGATACAACATAAAGAGTAGCAAGGCTCCTGCATCAACTGCTACCAAAGACCTCATTACTTTATTTTGCCAAGGTAGACTTGGAAATTCAACTTCAAAAAGCTGCTGCTGATCTTTCAAGAAGAGGAATTATTCATTGCAGCAGCGGTACATAATGAACCTCTCCATCGGGCGGGTGCATTCAGCACAAACAACCCGCTCGGGAATTTGCCCTGTGGTTCCAGGCAATATGAGCCTGTTGCAATGGTGTGGTGAATGAAGTTCCTTGAGCTCTTCGTTCAGCGCGATCACAAAGCCGTCAGGGTAGACGACTTTGTCCTTCCAGCGATCGTACTGGCTCACACATGTCAGAACTGTCTCGCCTTTCCCTTTGGCCATCTCATGTGCTCCCCTGGAAAACACTGCCCAGCCTTGATCACTGCCATCAAAGCTGAGCATTGTCACAATCTCTTGCATGATGGGATCATTCTCAACGGTCATTCCGTGTTGCATTTTGGAATGCCACATGCTTTCCAGCCTCACCCAGAAAAACCAGATAAGTGTTAAGTCTGGCAAGACGTGGCTCAGGTTTTCAACCTGGATAATGGAATTGTTTCTTCTTACCCTTTCTTTCGGGTTGCTTTTGCCCACATAAAGCATTTCTAGTGGAATTCGTGCAGCATTCGCGACTGCCCTCATTGTAGTTGTGAATTTCCTGATCCATTCTATGTCCTCTCCACCATACAAACATATGTATCTGTTTTCATTCACCTGTGGCATCAGAACAACTTCATAAGTAAGCAAACTCAGGCTAAGAGAATCACATGGCAGATTGTGGTAGCCTGATTCATTTACATTAGTTATGGAACACAAGAAAAACATATGCATTACCCAAAGGAACAGATTTTGGTCAATGGAATCAGCTAACAATTCCATTCTCCAAGTTTCTTCTCTCCAGAGTGCTTCTTCTTTTGACTTAGTGAAGGGGAAAGCCAGACTACCCCAAATCCACATCATATGCAGTGCATTGCGATTCGATTCTTTGCCCTGAGGATCCAGGACTACAAGCTGAGGTTTCTTCGTGAATCCCCAAACCTCCTTGATGAACCTAATGACTGCAGGATCCAGCATGCTTGGATGAGCTACTGAGTACCATGGCATGGAGTTTTGGACAAGTTCGAATTGTTTCTGCTTTGCATCATTCCATGGAGTTACTCTGTCAACAACTGGAAGCCAAACAACCTCATACTGACTCTCTGGCCTATTCGGCTGTTGTTTGGCCTCACTATACATTTGATGGAGGATTGACAGTTCTTCATGAGACATGTCTAGGTCTGAAATGAGCAGCAAAACATGTTTCCTTCTCAAGATATCAAGGCTAGCCTGCCATCACGAAGGAGATATATTAATGGGGAATTCGTTTTATTTGCTTGCTTTGCTTGTATAAGATGATGGTAAATAAGAGAGAATAAACGAACTCTTCTCTTGTGAGTTCCATCATAAAGAGGCAGCTGATCCTCTTTGGCGTAAATTAAAGCCCTAAGAATCTTCATGTTGTCAATATGAGGCGTTTCAAAGAGTCGAATCAGTGCAAGATATGCATCATTTTGCCTCCTCTCCTCTGCAACATTAAAACATTAAATCTTTTGTATACTCTAGTAAGTTTTCGACAAGTTAGATGTCCTGGAAGCTTACCAATCTTTTGATTTATATTTCCCATTTGACCTTCCAGGTGGGCTTTTATGTTAGCAAGTTTGTGAGCCAAGCTGTTGAGTTCCCAGGTCTCAGAAGCTGAAGCAATGTACCTGTTACATATGTAAAATTCAGATTGCAGGAGCAATGAAGAGCAAATGCTCTTTGAAAACCTTAACACAAGTTTTAAAACGATACAAAACAAAAGCAGAAACATACTCATGTCCAAGGGCTATGAGGTTGAGTAATATGGTTGAACAAGCTACAATGCTACGAACCGTCCAGTAAGCTGCAGTGGGGATATGAGCAGCAGCCGCCATCATTTCAGGTGACTCGATGCTAATGTACTGTGAGGGGAGCTCCTTGAACCTAATAATACACTCGGTCACCTCCAGCATTGCATGAATGAGGTTATTAATTGCCGAGAACTTCTGTTTTAAAGCTTCAGTATGCTCCATCACTTCTGGAAGTTCCTTAAGAAGTGCAACAGACTTGGCTAGTGGATTTGTGGTGTAAAGCTGTGCAACGAGCCAGAACTCGCCATAGTTCACAGCAAAAGCAGCGAAGGCTATTGTCACTTTAGCCTCCCAAGTGTAGCTTGATAGTGACTGGAAGAGTGCCATAGTAATCAAGTGTGCATCTCCACCAGCATTGCACTTGCATATGATCTACCATTTTTACAATTGGAGTCAGAATGTAACAAAATCCTTATGGATAAACTCATGAAGTTTGCCTATAAAAGATGGTTGTGAGGGCATACCTCACAGCTTGTTTTGTTGATGGGGTATGCGAGAAGTTCAAGTATTTCATTGTAACCAGCGTGAAGTGCCTTCTCATCCCATGCATCAATATGAGCTTGACTTTGTTCCGTCTACAATGATCAAAAGCAGGTGCAGTTTGTCATGTAAAGTGAAACTTCCCAACAAAAAGGCAATTATATGCTAGGAATAAACATGAAATGCATGCACACATTGCATGTTTTGCAACTGAAAAAGTAGTGGTTAGCGTACCGCTCCAAGAAATGCCGGGGTAGAACGGTGCATGATGTCCTCAATGATGACAAAGAGTGGTTTGACATCAAAATCACGGCCATCAGGAGCATGAGTGGCTAGAATTTGCTTCATCATGGCGCCATCATCCGAAGTTGAGAACAAATGGCGATCGCCCCTCATTAAATGGCTACTCCTTGTAGAAGACGGGACAATTGCAGTACTGGTCGGATGAGGCTTGAGAATTCCTGGCACAGTTGTGGTTGGATGGCTCCTAACAGGAGGCACTTGACCAAGATGACTAGCAGGCACTTCATTAAGGTGGGTAGCAGGCACTTCACCAAGATGAGATTGCAGCGCATTCAATGCCTGATTCCTCAAAGCAGTAGTTGCCGGTACACTTTCAGGAGCAATTGATTGACCCAATGCCTGGCCCCTTGTAGTTGGTACGATTTCGCTTGCCGGCCTAGCCAATGGCTGAATGGGCTGCAACTGCTGCATTGGTTGTATTGGTTGCATTTGTTGGCCCCTGGTAGTTGGCACAATTTCAGACATTTTGGAAGGACTTGGAAGGCCTTGAAGCAAGGACTAATGAGATGAAAAACTGTATAAGTTGCTTGGTCTTTTCCAGTTCTCTGAAGCCCTTTATATAGCTCTGTCATGATGGAATAAAGGCGGGATGAATCAAGTACCTTGCTTCCAGTTTAGATTAAATAATGAGGTTTACCAGAGGTTAAGAATTCATTTCATACTGCAAGACTAAGTAATAAAAAAATGGTGCTTTTCCTCCTATTTTTCTATCCTTCTTTCTCAAACTTGCTTAGGAATCTGCCCCTTCCAACAAGGAAATGACAACAAATCCTTAAACTTCACTACTTTAGTTTACACAATGTGGCATCGGAGAATGCTGCATTTAACTTTGCTTGATACTTTGGGTTTTTGTTACTGGACAAGAATCCAAAAAGAAAGCCTCAGAAAAGCAGGAAAGCACATAAGAATCTATAGCAGTTGTTGCTATTTTTGGTTCGGTTTAAGTTTCTCCAATCCTGTCACTGAAAAGCCTACTAAACTTTACGCCGGATACAAAATATACTATTGATGCAGAAGGATAATTACAGCCTTTTCTTTTTAGGGGGAGCTGAAATTGTAATGAAACCATAAATTAAAGAGATTTACTCATCTTTGTTTCATTGAAGAGACAATCAGAATATCATTATGTTCTTCAGTATAACTTCTGTTAAGATTTTGAGGGGAAAGCTGAAAATTCGGTTTGTCTATAAATTTTTCAAAGCCCCCCCAAAAAACAGAAATCCCTGAATGATTTGTTCTGGCTTTTAGAGTTCTAGTCCATCCTTGTACAATCTCTACTTTACAGCTTACACTTGTTTTGTTCTTTCCTTCTTCCCTTGTTCTTGTCAAACAGTAAAATTGATGGTTCTATCCTTTAGATATATGATGCCTGAGTTTTGATGAAGAGTGATGATAATGCATTTGTATTTTCTGTCACAAACAAGTACAGTAGTTCAGTACAACGTACAAAATGTTCGATCGGTAACGTGATAATTTAAGAAACTTGCTGTCAGTAAAAACGTAATGCAGGAAGATGTTGGCCTAGCAATGAGAGAAGAAAGGAGATAACAATCTTACGAGAAACTATATAAGCGCTTTCCTCGCTGCTATTTTGAAGCAACATACAGTTCTCGCAATCTCACACATTAAGTTTTAACTTCCAGGAAGGGTACATGGGATTAGATAGAATTGGTGAAGAAATTAAAAGGTGGCTGTAATCACTAATCTCATCATTCTGTCAGGTGCTGCTTGTGATGTCAACAGGCATATCACTGTAAACTCCTTGTTTGCAGTGATTTTATGCATGCCTTTATATATGACCTTAACTAACTGGAATGTACATAAAATAGTTCTTTGCAAGATACAGAAATCACATTCTAAACAAACTCCATTCTAGCTTATAAATCTTATAGTAAAATCTGGAATTATCATTTTTATTGAACATATCCTTTAAAAAAAAAATCCAGAATATTGACATTCAATCGGAGTTCTTAAATAGGAATTGTATCAACCTATCACAAATGCATTCTCAATGCTTGCTTATTATTGAGTTGATTCGCATTTGTACAGTAAAAACTTCTCCATTTGGCGTTTACATACCGGACACGACACTTGTCCTGGTGCAGAACCTTCCTTGTACGGAAGAAGAACCTCATAGTGATTGCACGGACTAACAGCTGAAGGTTCAAATGAACTTCTAATGGCATCCACCAATCCCAATTCTTCGACATTCTCAGCCCATCTCGAGAAACTATTAAAGCATTCTGTGGCTTCCCTTCCTTGAAGCTTTATTAGCCCTGGAAAAGACCCTTTTCCTATGAGCACCCAACCATTATTATTGCTGTCAACATTTACTAATTCCATTACCTCTTTCAAGATACTATCAGAAGCTCCTACATGCGGCCCCCCTTCGCGAGTGATTGAATTTTTCATACACTCCAATCTATGCCAAAAGAACCATTGTTGTGTGTACGTGAGGCAAGCGCTTAAGTTTTCTTTTTTGATGACATCTGATATGTTCCGTAATGTTTCACTTGGATCTTGATTTTTCCAGCCAACATAAATCATCTTCAGCTGAAGTTCAGTTTCTTCCTTAATTTCTTTAATTTTAGAAGTGAACTCTTTGATCCAATCCAACTTGTCACTTGCATAAATACAGATGTCCATTTCTTCTTCAACCTGGTATCAAAAAAGAAGTTTTGAATCATGTATTCCATGAAACACAAAGATAGGGATAATAAGTTGTACTTGTTAGGTTCTTACCCATTTTGTTAACAAAGGGTTAACGCCACTTGTAACAAGTTGTAAGGTCCATGTTTCAACTTCCCAGAGCTTCTTTTCTCTTGATGTTGAAAAGGGAAAAGCATCAGCTCCCCATATCCATATCAAGTCCATTGCATTTGAGTTGGTAACCATGCCATTAGTATCCAAAACAACTAACATGGCTTCCCCTTTATAGCTCCATTCTTGTGTGATGAAGTCGACAACTGCAGATCTCAGAAACCATGGCTGGTGTAAAGACCAGAATGGCAGCGAATTTGATAGAAACTGGAAGCTGATTTCTTCAGCCCGACTCCAAGTATGTGAAGTTGAGATTGGCACCCATAAAATCACATAACTTCTGTCAATTTTATCCTGGTTGGGATGATCATATGTCTGCTGCACCAGCAGGAATATCTGCTCAATGGGGAGGAGATCAGCAGGGGACAACAGAAGAATAACCACCTTGTTTTTTAGCTCAGTGATTCCATGCTGTTGAACAAGAAATCAATAGTGAGATTAATCAGCATCATCAGAATTCTTCTCAGATAGTAATTGTTGGATCAGCAAGAGATGGAATTATCAATCACCAGAGAGAAGCGATCCTTCAAGGGATAATCATCCGCGAAAGGGACTAGCTTATGAAGAGTTTCTTGATTGTCAGGATGAGTCTGCTTGAAAAGATCGAGCAGCTTCTTGTACAATTTTGTTTCTGAAAATTATGAGGAGTGTAATTATATTAACATACAATTCAATCACAAGTAAGCTCTATAAAATTTGTACCTGTCTCCTGATGGCAAATTTCAAGCTTCTTTCTCAGTTCAAAACATAAGCCAGTTAACTTGTGGACTAAACTAAAAATGGTCCAAGTTGAACTTGAATTCCTGAAGAAAGAAGTCACATGTCTAGGTGTAAGATACTTGCAATTTGAGACTGTGCTGGTGGTTGATGTCAATGCATGGACAATATAAACAGAACACTAATATGAATAATGGGAAAAAGGAAAATGAAGAGGATGTTAAAGGGAAAGAACATGCACTTGGTCATGTTTTGTCATCCGCAGGTCTGTCATCACAGAAAAGCAAACCAATGCGCTCCGGCAAATCCAGTAGCTGGCTATGTAAATCTTTGACTTGGCATTAGATAAAATCTCGGGCTCAAGAAGTTCTTGTTGCAAAGGCAGGTTTTCGAACTCTATGATGACTTGTGTCAAGTCCAACATATTCTCCACCAACACAGTCAATGCCTTGAACTGTGACCTGAAACACTTGAAGTCACAAGGCGCTCGTCCTAGTAATGCAAGTAACTTTGCCAAGGCATGATGAGACTGGAGTTGCACTATGAGCTGAAATTCTTCATAAACCATCACGAAGCCTGCTAGGATTAGAATCATTTTGGCATCCCACTTGAAATTTCGTAATGTGTCAAATAATGACATTGTCTTGGAGTGTAAATCGCCTTCCTCAAAGCAATTACTGAAGACCTGTCAGTAGGTCAATCCTTTGTCATACTGACTACAAAACACAAAACTCAACACTGAATAAATTACAGCCAATGAGAGTATTTAGAATTAACCTGATGTGATATCATATAAATGGTGTATCCCAATGTTTTCTGTAGTCCAATAGCTTCAACATCGCTTAAGCTGGTGGCCAATATCTCCGGATCAGAATCCTGGACAAATTCATCATCAAACTATCAGGAGTTATCTCTTCTGTTAGAAATCCTGATCATCATATGACACATTCTAGATGGATCAAGTCAAAGGAGGCAAGAGACATACTTTTCCTGACACAGGACCAGCATAATGAAAGATATTCTTCAAAACACGAAATAAGGGCCGAGAATCAAGCCGAGAACCATCAGGATCATGAGTCATGAGGATTTTGCCTATCAGAAAGTCTTCTTCAGTGGACACTGACAGTGAAAACCTACTAAGCCTACCTGAGCTCATTGCGAAAAATCAAAGTGGGAGTGTCCTGAAGAAACCAAACCTGAGTAGCTAAAATGAAAATTCTGTGCCTAAGAATCTTATATTAGCAGCTTCGAAATGATTCATGGTCCATATATATCTAATAAGGATAAGAAAAGGGAAGAAATGCAACCCTGTTTCATGAAGATGTGCATTTTATTTTATATTTCAAGCAAGATGAGATTTTGAGTAGTGAATACAATTTCAGGATTTCTTTTCTTCCTTCCAACTGTTTTTACTTTTTACAGCACAATCTAGATTAAGTAGCATTAAGAAGACTAAAAAATAAGGGGGAAAACAGTCACGTGCAAGTTTACAAACCATAAAGGGAAAATACAAAGGAGATTCCCAGTTCACAGCGTCCACTTTAGAAGAAATATAGCCATATAGGAGAAGCGAAATAAAGCCAGCCAAACACCCAAAAAAAAGATAGAATAAAGTCAGAACTCCATTGACAAGAAATTCAAGATTCACTCACAAAGATCATTACTTGGAACTGTACTTAAATATGCCTTTAGTTTCGTAAAGGTACACCTGCAATCATGATGCTTCTGGGGTTCAGGGGAAGAATCAAAATATCAAAGATTGAAACTTTTTCATCCATTTTAGCCAACTGTACATTTGTATTCCTGTTTGATTATAATCAAGATGGTTTTTTGCTTCAAGGATCTAGCAACATATAGGATCCCTTTGCTGCCATCCTTTTCTGGGCATTCCCATAATTCTTACCAATCCGCTGAGACGGTGGCAATAAACATCGAATTCATCCATAATTAAGGAAATTGAGTTAAATATATACTCCCTCCGTCCCATAATTATTGTCCAGTTAGTACAATTTGAACTAAAAATGAAAACTCAAACAGGACAATAATTATGGGACGGAAGGAGTACAATACTACGAGTGTTAATGCCAATTGACAAGGTATGTTTCATTGTATCAGTCTTGAACGGAATTGTAAGTAACTTGTATATGTTTCGGTCTAAAGGATGTTTCTTTCATCAGTCAAATGCTACCAACTCCATAAGTTCTCGGCTAACTTCTTCACAACATTAAAGATAACAGAGTTTTTAATCTGCAAAGTGGATTTTTCTTCTGCACAGGTTGTTGGTCTGCTACTGTCAATAATTTTGAACCATTGGCTTCCAGGCTCGCATTTGTTGTCTTTACTCAAACATTTGCAACTGCTGGTGACAACAACGTTGTTAGAATCGACATCCAAGCAAACTTGATTCCCATCTTGAAGCTTGGAAGAGAGGTGCATTTTTGAGTCAGAAATGGCCTCCCATTTAGAACTTGGGTCGGTGCAAATCAACCCAAGGGTTGCTGGTTGGCCAAGTTCATCTGCTTGCAAGCAATAGTATGTTCCTTTAATTGTAAGTACTTGTTGAGGAGTGTAGCTCCATGCCTCAGCTTCAGAACATGGTCCTAATTCCAGTGGTTTGAAAAATGATTTCCTCAGTACACAAAGCCCGGTTGATGGATGGAAGATTAATTTGTGTGGACGAGATTGTGAGACTAATGGTCCTGCAATTCCACAGCAAAAATCATAATTTGCAAAAAAAAATATTACTCCTTTCGTCCCAAAATTAAGTACATCAAAAAATGCAATACACAAAACTGATTGCATTCCAACCCAACCCTTCTAAACTACACTACTTTTGTTATGTAAGTTTGCTTGGAAAACATACCTTGGAATGGAGCTTGAAGAACAGAAATTTTTTGTAGTAAGCTTGAATTCCTGACTTCACACCAATTCCAATTGTAAATCCCATAGAACTCATTCATCCCAACAACTCCTTGCCTCAAATAGTAACTTCCAACCAGTGTCCAAAAAGCCCAATCAACATCATACTCAGCAGCCCATCCCATGAAGCAGTCAATGTACCTATTGTCATTCACATTGGTCCCTCTAAGATCCAATCCAAATTCACTCACGAAGATAGGGTACCCTTGGTCCAGCAAGAACCCTGCCCTTCGCATCATGTTACCCATAACTTGTCCACAAACTTGGTTTGGGTTACCCGTTTTCCAATCCTGTCCATCACTGAAACCGTACCAGTGGACCTCGAAAACAACCTTGCCAGTGAATGTTAAACTGATGGGCTTTTGGCGGAGAAATGAGAAATCTTTGTCATAGTTCAACCCAGAAAGAATGATCAGAACATTTGGGTTTGCTGCATGCACTGCTTCAGCTCCCTTTTGCATGTACCTTTAATCGCGAGTATTAATTAACGAATAATTGTTCGAACAGTCAAGAAGACGATTTTTAACATTCTTCCTTTTTATAACTTAGAAAAAATTGCATTTTTCTATGTGATTGTTACCTGTACCAATCGTTGATGTTTTGTTTTGGACCTCGAAGTTCATTCCTTAGACTCATTCCGATCACATTGTTGATGTCCTTGAATGTGGTAGCTACTTTGGTGAGCCCTTTGATCCAGAGGTCAGGATTGAAGTATTGATCACCAAAGAAGCCATTGCCATCATCGTTGCTACAACACCATCCTGGCTTGCTAATGTGATTGTCCAAGATGATCATCACATTGTGATTTGCAAGACTAGCTACCACTGCCTATTTTACCCACAAATTTCCTCAAATCATGAACCACATAAACCACAACGGTAAACCACATTTTCCTGATAAAATTCAAAAACTTTTAGATGGTTTTTCTTATGTTGTGTATTTTTAAATTCAGGATTTTTTTGGGGGGTACAAAATTTAAGAAATTTTTTAGAATGAATAAAAAATGGTGAAGAATGACGAGAACAAAGGTCCAACAATTTTAAATACAAATTTACATAAAGAAGTTAATTTTTCAGCAGATTTCTCAGCCTCCTAGGCAGTTTCATGTGATTTTGGTTTGATAGCCCTTCCAGTAGGAATTATTATGTGGCTAAGACATGATATCGTAAAGGTATTATATTATATTCTTGTAACATAGTTGTATAATTCTTTGGTAATTAAAAAAAAAAAGAGATGAATATGTATGTACCGATTTTGTTTACCCAAATGATCATAATTAGTAAATACATTCAATTCGTGATGACCAATAACTTGCCATTATCTGCTGAACTCTTGATTTGTTTGATATCTTTGACTTTCACCAGACAGATTCTTGTATATATTATCTGGCATTATTTGAGGTTGTATTGGTTCTACTTCAATTTTTTTTTTAAAAAAAAAGCTCTTGTAATGCAAAGAGGAAGAAAATTTAATTCCTCTGTCCTATAGGCCATGGAGACATGTTATTGTCATCAGAGTCATAGTCAAACCATGTTGTTCATCCAACCCACTAATAAAACAACTAAAAAGATATGTGCTGTATCATTACAGGTGAGGAGTTGAAGACTAAACAGATAAGGTTTGGAATGGTTCAAATAAATCATCTATACTCCATGGGAAAATGACATGTCCCATAGTGCATTATTGCATTCACCAAACTCCATTTATATCCCTTGATTTTTTTGGATAAACTCTTGGTAAAGATCTCAATACCCGATCCATGTAGCTCAACGAAAATTATATATACATTATGTTGGAATAGTTTAATAAAAATCATGTTGTTTATAAAGTCATACTTCCTTTATCCCGAAATGATTACCTATTTTGAATAATTATTTCTAATACAAATACTATTAAAAGTGAAAACTCAACAACAATAATTTTTTGAGATGTAATAATTAGCTAGCTTACTGAAATTGCACCAAAGTGATGTTATTTTGAGAGAAGAAAATTCTTCTTGCAAATATACTATCTCTGTTCTAATAAAAATAATGATTGTGTTGTTAATGAGTATCAAAAAATGAATAAGAATCCTGATCTTACCCAAATGCACACTCAAAGTAGTAAAATTTTAGCCACGACTTTTGTATTAATCCTCAATTGTTTAATGCAAGTTAATAATGTACATACTTAGACCGAGTCCCGACATGACAAGAATCTCCATTCCCTTCTTAACTTGAACAACAATCCAAAGCAATGATCATTCCAAAAACACAAAATGATGAATAATTTACTCAATCAAATAAAGATTAACAAATTTGATTTTTTTCTATTAATAAACAAAAAGAACTACTTAAAGTGATAATGGTGACGATGATGAATTGATGATAAGGATTAATTAATTAATGAATGAATAAAATTACCTGGTAAGCATTGAAGAGGCTAAGATCGAGAATGGAAGGATTATTAGCTTGAAACCCTGCGATGGACTCGGTAAGTCCAAGCTTCAGAAACGACTGCCTAACGGTGACGGAAGCCAGAGAATCATCGGTGAACAAGAAAAGCGGCCAAGTTAGCCTAACGCAGTTAAATCCCAGTTCCAGAATGTTCCGGGAGATGACGTCCACCGGCTGCTTGCTCAGCCCTTCCGCCACCACAACTTCCAGGTGCGCCACCCAGTTGACGCAGGCCAGCTTCACCCGTTCGCCGGAGTCGTTCACTATCCACCGCGAATTCGCGGAAAGCGGCTGCGACGTTACGACCTTTTCGTGGGGGCTAATGATGAGGAAAACCATCAACAATGTCATCATCCACTTTATCATTACCACTACTTCCATTTTAGTGTTTTTCATATTTGTGGAGGAGTAGCACTTGTTTTCTCCAAAGCGGGGGGAAAAAGGATCTCCAAGATAGACCCTAAAGGGCCGATCTTTATTAATTTATATCATTGAGATGAATTAATTTGTTAGTATGATTACGATGGTTTGTTGTGCTTTCAATCTTTTCTTTCTTTACGTTTCGGTAAGTAAACTGAAGATATATATATATATATATATATATCAGTATATGTTTCTTTTTGGAGAGATAAATGTAGTTTGACGTGTAGTTTGACGTGGAGTTTGGAATAAGGGATATTTATCCTGGAATTTGCTTATCCATCTTTTTTCCCTATATTTTATGTGTTAGGCCCTGTTTGATAACATAATTAAGTGCTGATCCAATTCCAAGTGTTTGATAATGGATTTTTCAAAAACTGATTTAATTAAGTGCCACTGAAACCCACGTTCAACTTAGGCCCAAAAATTAAGTGATTGCCCTTTCACTTAACACCTCTCTCTGAACGCGGTCAGTCTTTTGAATTTTAAGTCAATTTTATTATGTCAACATTATCCTAAAATCGTCTCTCTGCTGTCTCTTCTCCTCTCTTTCTGGGTTTGAATCTCCGAATCAAATCTTCTGCAATATGCAGAAATATATGATCTTTCAATTTCTTCTCCACTAAATTTTGCGATTAATTGGTCGATGATCCTTGTTACGGACCGATGAGAAAGGGAATTGAAAAAGAATAGAGGAATCCTTTCTTCATTCGCCTTTTAGTTCATTAATTTACTGGTAAAGGGTCTGAATAGTCTTCCATGAAAATTCTGAAAATTGGTGGGTTATCAGTGAGCAATAAATCAATAGCAGCAATAGAATGACAAAGCCCGGTCTAGATCGGCATCGAAAAGCCAAACTTAGCTTGCCTCAAAAAACAACGATTTAATTCGATTAGTTTGTGCTCTTTAACTAACCTCTCTCTCACACAGAGGGTAAACAAAACTGGTTTTGCTTCTGTTTCTTTTAACTACTGGGGGTGTGTGTGTTTTTTTTCAGACTAGGTTGATGATGGATACTCTTTTTATAGAAGCACAAATTGCTGCAACTATGGAAATTTTAGAAACTTCTTCGTGTCTTTATTTTCTTTTAAGGTTTGATTAGTATGATTTAGCTATGATTGATATGGTATTAAGAACTTTGGTTTGTTTGTGATCTTTTAAGAGAGCAATACTTGATGTAAATTGATGCTTTTATTGCTCTGATTTTTCTCCATCTCGTTGAAAGTTGAAACACCAGTGCATCAACAATATATTTGCTTTAACCATTGTTTCTCTTTTTTTTTTTTGAAAGAAAAGAATAAAATTTCATTATGTAATTAAAGTTGCAGCTTGATTATTGTTATTGGTGCTTTAGATTTAACATTTATTTAGCTCTTGATAATTTTATAACAATAATTTTTTAATTTGTAAACTATAAATTTGTATCGAGTATTATTTTTTCTAAATAAAAAATTACATGGTTATATTAAATATTCTCCTTAAGTAAATTATGGATTTACAAGGTTGTATAATATAATTATAGTATAATCAAAATGATCAAAATAGGGATACATTGGTAAACTTCTCCATATTCAGACTTTAGTTGTATAATACTATCAAACAACTAAAATCGAATCAGTGTTCAGATTCAGACATCTATATATATATATATATATATATATATATATTAATTTCAGACATTCAGATTCAGTCACTTAATTGTTTCAGCTTTCAGTTTTCAGACTTCAGATTTCAGACTTCAGTTTTATCAAATAGGGCCTTAATGTCCAACAAAAAAAAAAGTAAAAAGATTGAAATGATATTCATCTATTAGACAATAACTTTTTTTTTTTTACATTTAGTGCACCTCTTCCTACATTCCATCTAAATAACATAATTTAATAGTGTGAGTAATAATACACATAATAAATATTTATAGTGAAATGGAATAGGAGATAGTTATGAAAAGACAAAAAATCACACCACTCTTTCAATAACTACCAACAAAATAGGAGATAGTTATGTATTTACACACATGCCACATCAGTCACTATCCCATTTCACTACACATTTTCATTATGTATATCATTTTTTAATTTAATATTATATTTCTTATTAATTTTGGTCCAATTAATAAATCATTTGCATTATTATAATTATCGATTTTAAAATTTTAGATATAAAAAATATATCCAAAAAGTCTTTACATTTAATAAAATATAATTAGATTCACTTATTAAATTTCACTCAATAATTAAATACCATATAAGGTGAGATAAAAAAAAAATAAGTTGTATATCATTACTCTATTTCAAAACTAAATTAAAACCATGTTTCATTCTTGAATGGTGAGAAGAGCATTCCAACGGGAAAAAAAAAAAAAAAAGAAAAGAAAAGAAGAAGCAAGCTTTCTCACTTTTTTTTTTCTCATTCTTTTTTCCCTTTTGCTTCTATTGCTTTTCTTGTTTAAAAGCTGACAAAACGGAATTTCTTTTTCATCATAAGCGTTACGCCAAAGAACCTTCTATGTCGAATTCAGAGAGATTAATAGTACTAGTATATACTCTTCACGTTGTGCGATGATATAATATATTATATATTAATTTAATAATTTGAAAAATATATTACTCTGGAAAAGGGTTGTATACTTAGGGGAAAAAATAGTATTACTAATAATAAAATGTAATCGTTGTTTATTTCACTTTGTATTCTGGTTTGGTTAGGAAATTTTTTTTACCCTGTGTGTATACGTATACAAATACTAGCTGCTTGGCCCGGACAGATGCCCGGGCGCTCCCTCTAAATTATTATTTTATTAAAATCTAATTGAATTACTATTTTTTGAGGAATTAATTTGACGTATATATCATTTATGCTATGGTTTGGGGCTTAAAAAAATATACATATAAATCTGAGGTTATAAGGAATAATAAATAATTAGTTTATAAGGCATTATTCTTAATTGCTGGATTTAGGTATTTTTATTTTTTGTTTATATTAAGCCTGCAAAACTATACGATTGGACATTTGAATTTGAATTAATATATCCATTCGTTTGAAATGTAACTAATCCTTATTTGTAGTAAAACATGTGTTTTATTTTTTTAAAAAAATTATATAGCTTCTAATTAAAAGAGACTTACACGTAGCAAAAGATGTCTGAAATCTGAAATATGGTGCATTGGAGCCAAAATAGATGCATACGTAGTTGCCACATAAGCTTCGTGTCTTCTGCTTTAATAGGGTAAAAGGGATAAGTCTTTTGTTTTATGAACATAGATGTGATGGTTAATTTTGATTTAGTTATCCTATTTTAGAATAATTTGTCCACTACTTTTTAAAACTTGATAATGCTTATGTTTTAAAAATAATGTTGTTGATGCCAACAATACTTTTTTTTTTCTACCCAATAAATAATTGTTTGAGTCTTATTATTATTATTATTATTATTATTATTATTATTATTATTATTATTATTATATATCCGAATTTCAACCACAGAAACGGAAAACCTTATAAACTCCCATATTATGGGATTCTGTGGATGTATAGACCTCTTTTTTTGTCAAAAGCAATAATAATATTTAATATAAAAAGGAAATGTAAATCAACTATATGGTTGAACAGTACAATATGAGAAACAGTACAATACAAGGATTGAGGTACACAATCCGATAATTGAGCTAACACAATATGCCATACACGACTTCTCAACCCACAGAGTAACAGACGTGCCACCATCTGTGTACAAGTGTTAAGAAGGTTTAAACTGAACATATTGAAATAACTTCTCTGATAACTAAGGTATGGAATTTCCAAACAGATCTAGCGAAGAAAAATAATACTGAGAGAACTAATCTATAGGATAAAGTTCCAACACCAATCTAATCCGAACAAAACTGAATGCAATAGCAAATTTACCAAACAAACTTAGAAGTTCTAGATATGAAGATTTTTCTTCATCCTTGTACCTTGGACTCCATGATTCTCCCTATACAATGATTTCTTCTTCAGTGTCACTTGGATCCATACTTCCTCCATCAGATCTGTTGGGAAACTACCTTAAAACAATAAAATAAACAAATAAAATCTCCTATGAAAGAGGAGCAAAACACCCATCAAAGGGTGAGAGAAACTCCTGAAAGGAGAGCAAAAGCATAAAACAAAGAAGAAGAAGAAAGATAAATTTGAGCTCCTCCATCCCCATTAATGGTGTATGGGGGAGAAGGGGGAAGAAAATTTTTTAAAACTTAGAGAGAAGAGAGACAGTTTGAGTAGAGAGAGAGAGAAAGAAGAGAGTTTTGATCGAGTCTGTGGATGTATAGACCTCGGGGACCCATTCTTACCATTTTATTAAGCAAAATGGATTATAAATCTGTGCTTTTTATAAGGGCATAATCTGCTTGGTAAGGTAAATGGAAATAGATATAGGGTAAACAAACCATTTAAATTGACAATTCCCTTCATTATTCACCACTCCCGTTAATTAATTAAATCACTTTCGTTTTCATTTCTATTGAGCAAAGTTTAACCAACAGTTGAATTAAATATTACTCTACTACACAATGACCCACCAACACAACCTTCAATCCGATCAAACTGTTATACTCCCTCTGTCCCAAAATTATTGTCCAGTTTGAGATTTCACTTTTAGTACAAATTGAACTAGAAATGAAAATTCAAAATGGACAATAATTATAGGACGGAGAGAGTACTAATCAAGTCTGGTTTTGTTAGAGTAAAATTAAAAAAAGATTTACTCTAAATATATACAATTAATTCAATATTAATCTGCTACACAATGACCCACCAACACAACCTTCAGTCCGATCAAAGTGTTATACTAATCAAGTCTGGTTTTGAAGAGTAAATCTATTTTCATTTATTATTATGGAATTGTGGAAAGTAATATAAAATAGAGATAACCAGAAAAAGAAAAACCTAATACTCATCACTTTTGCTGCCGCCGCACTCTTCATAAT